CCTGCCCGAGGCAGTTAAGAGGTTTTTTGGGGGACCTCTTGGAGCATAGTTTGGGCCTCTTGGGAGTCTATTGGGGGCCTCTTGGGGTCCCCTGGGGGCCTCTTGGGACCGCCTGGGCTGGGTGCCTCTTGGGGCGGAAAGCTGGACTTTTCGGTTCGTGGTCCCCTTCTTGGGCCCTTCTTGAGCCCCTCTTAGGGCCCTCTTGGGCCGTCTTGCGGTCATTTTGGGCAGTTTTGGGGCCCTCTTGGGGCGTCTTGGGGCCTTCTTGGGGGCCTCTTGGGTCTTCTTGTGGCGGTCGTGGGGGCCTTCTTGGGGCCCTCTTGTGGCGGCCGTCTTCGAGCGTCGGAAGCCGGAAAAGGCGAGAAAGCCAAAAATGTCGAAAACATTATTCTAAAATCACCGATTTGGGCCTCTTGGGGTACTCTCGGGAAGCCCCGTCGAAGCCTCTTGGGGCGTCTTGGAGGTATCTTGGGCCGTCTGGAGGCCATCTTGGGCGTCTTGGGACGATGATTCGGCGACTCGGGGCCCTCTTGGACCGTTTGGGAGGTCTCTTGGGGCTCTCTTGGCCCGTTTGAGGCCCTCGATGCCCTCCCAGCAGAATTTCTGAAGCAAAGTACCCCCCCCGGCCGACACGGATAGACCCCCCCCTCCAAATCGACCGGATCCGGCTTCCGGGGGAGGGGTTTGGGGAGGGGGAAGCATCTCACACGCCTGATTCGGGCCTCCCATTTTCGCGCCAGAGTTCCCCTATGACAATCAAGCCGACATTTCCCGGACCACGTTCTGCCCACGGAGGTATTGCAAGCACGTTTTTGCAGCAGGACTTCTTCCGGATCAAATGGTTCCAGGACTTTCCCAGGTCACATGTGGGGATCCCAAAGAGGGCCCTCGGACCAGTTCTATCCTGGATAATTCCGGTGCCCAACACTCGCCTCCCCCTCCCCCAGACGTCTGTCGGCTCGTTTTCTGTTTGTTCCGAGGCGTAGGCGCACGCAGCTCTCGATCCCTCCCCCAGGGGCGGGTGTCCCCTTGAGCCAAGGGTCCTGTGGCCGGGACTTGGGCCGCCAGTCGGGGGCTTCCAAGATGGGGGTGATGCCTAGGGGGCGGGGATATCATGGCCAGGGACATGACACCTCCCTGCGTTTCATGGCCGCCTCTTCATGGCCGCCTCATACGTCCCTTGGTTCCCCTGGGGCCGCGCACTTACCTCGCGCCATGTTCTGCGAACCAACAGCCTACCTCTTGGACGCCCCCTTCGTGCACGCTCTCCAGAGGCCCAAGCTTGGCGGAGGATCGGCCGCCCCGAGTTCTTCGAGCTGCCAGGCATGCTCTGGCCCCCTTCGGGCGGACCGGGGTCATCGGTGGCGGCCAAGCAAAGCGGGGGGTGATGATTAGCGGGGAATGTCATGGACTGAGCAATGAAATCTCCCCAAATTTCGTGGTCCCCTCTTATTTTAGTGCGTCCCCTGCTCCCCCGCGTCGTCCGCGCACATGCCTCCGGCCATGATTTGCGACCCCCCCTGCTGGACGCCCTTCTCTTGCACGTCCCCGAGAAGGATCCTTCCGCAACGTTCTCACAGCGTTCTGAATCGCTCCAGAACGGCCGCGGCGCGCGATACATCCTCCAGATCCGCGGGATCTCAGAAATCCCCGAGATGGTCTGGTTCGATTCTGTCCCGAGGCCCTGACCTCGTCCTGCCCCTCCAGGCTGCTCTCGATCGACCACTGGGTGCCCACGATCGCGGTGGCCCCCGCGGCGGCGCGCCGGGCGAATACGAGCCGCGGGCCGACAGACCGAGCCGAAGGGCCGAGCCGACTGGCCGAGCCGACGGGCTGCTCGCGCGGGCGCCCGAGAGGCACGTGGCACCACGGGCGCCGGCGCCGCCTGGGCGCCGGGCGGAGCTGACGGGCGCGCTCTGGAGGCTGCGCGGCCCCGGCGGCGGCGGCGGCGGCAACAACGGCGACGACGCAGGGCGGCAGCGCCGCCGCCGCCGGCGGCGGCGGCCGCGGCCGCGTCGGCGGCGGCGAGGAGGGCGAAGATGGCGGCGGCGGCGAGGGCGGCGGCGGCGGGGCGCCGGCCGCGGCCGCTTCGGCGGCAGCGTCCGGCGGCCTCCTTCGGAGGAGGAAGACAGCCGGGGCAGAAGTTTTCGGGTACCCGCGCGGGTTCCTCGGGCCGTCTGCGCTGGACCCTTGGGCGACGCCTCTGCCGCCGTCCCTGGCGCGCTCCGCGCGGTGTTGGGGTGGCGCGGTGTGTGGTGGGTCACCACGTGCTCGGTGTCGACGCAAGCATCAAACCACAAGACGCATCATACCCAGCCCCCCACTCGTGCGAGCCCCGAAGCGCGAAACAGCGCACCGGCCACCCACGCGAACGCGTCCACCTCGTGATCGTCGTCAACACAAGCATCAAAATGGGTCCAACGCCAACCAGAGAAACTCGCGCGGACATCCGAAAGGTTATGCTTTTCTATGCGATTTGCGTTCCTCTGTTCTCCGTGGCTGCCGGCGACGATGGCGGTCGGCGGCGGCGACGAAGGACGAGGTCCGACATGAAGGCACGGGGTCCTGCGGGAAGCAGGCCTTGGAGCCCTCGGCTCTCCCCAGGGCCAGCTCTTTCTCAGCCACGCGCAGAGGGTGGTGGGGGGAGGGGGGAGGGCTTCTCGGAAGCACCCCTCCTTCTTCGAAGGCGCGGGCCTTATCTGTAGATACATCTAAGAAGCAGCCTCCTCCTAAGAAGCTCTCCCCCTCCCTCCACCCCCCTGTGCGCGCCGTCAATCTTGCCGAGTAGTCTTTGGACGTTCCCAGGGCCCGTGGATGGCCTCAGACCCGTTTCTGTTTCATGCCAAGGGCATGGCGGCGGGTCCGCTGACTGGCAGTGGCGACGAGGGCGGCGGCGGCGAGGGAGGCGGCGGCGGCGAGGGCGGCGGCGGCGGCGCGCGCCCGCGGCCGCGGCGGCTGGCAGCCGGCGGCCTTCCGCTTTGGCGCTAGTGGCCATGACGAGCGGCGGCGGCAGGAGGAGGATGCACACGATGCGGCGACGGAGGCGGCGGCAGGAGGCTGCCATGACCCGACATCCTCGCGTCGTTAGAAAGACGACGGCAGATTGCTGGCCATCTTCGGCCTCTGGGGGCCCTCACCGGGCCCCAGGACTAACGACCTGCCAGTCCCCCAGAAGGGGTCCAGACCTCTGGAGAACCACGTTGTGAAAGGTCAAGGCGTTGGATGTCTGAAGAGGATTCGCTGCGCCGTCCTCGAGTTCACGAGCCTGACCTTTGGCGCCGCTTGATGATCAACGTATATGGTTTGAGAGCTCTCTTGCCGTTCCGCGGCTGCTTCTTCCTCCCATCTTGCTCCTCCTTTGCTTCTTCCGCGGTAATTGAAAGGATCCGATGGGCAGATATACCATTGCTATAACCACCGCCTTGCGGGCCGTTCTTTCGGGACTTCGGCAGGTGGATCTGGATACATTCGGGCTCCTTGTGGCCCAACCCATCATATCCATATCCACCGCCCGCTGGAGTCCCAGGGCATCAGTTTTGCAGCCGATGGTTCTGGATGAATCCCCGCCTCGCAGAGGAAGTGCATGGGTAGGAGGACGTCGAAGACGTGCACCAGGCTGAGTCTGATGGTTGCGTGCAGTTGGTGGAGAGGATGAGGAGGAGCGCGACGACGGGAGGGAGCAGAGGGATGAGAGTGCAGCCGTTTCGTGTCCTGTTTTTTCTCGCCACCCCGACTTGCGCTCTGTGCTCTTCATTCGCCGCTGCTCCTAGTCGGTTGATTCCGGGCCCGTCTTCGGCCCACGATCTGTGTGAGAGAGAGTTGTGTGTGAGTGGTGAGTATGTGTGTAAGTCACAGTGTGTGTAAGTGTGTATGTGTGCTTGTGTGTGTGTGCCCTGGACTTTCTCCGCCTCGTCGCTGCGCGCAAGGCCGCGGCCGCCAACAAAAAAGTGTGTAGGGGTGTATGTATGTGTTTTCGACGCTGTCGTCGTCAGCCTCGTCCTCGCCGTCGCCATGCGTCGTCACGCCGTCGTCTTCGCCGCCGTCGCCTTCCTCGCCGTCGCCATGCGCCGTCGCCGTGCATACGTTGTCGCCATCGCCTTTGTCATCGTCAGCTTCGTTATCGCCGACGTCGCCCAGACCCTGCGCCTCTGCCGGCCCACTTTCGGCTACGCGGAGGGCTGCCCAGGCGCGCACCCCCTGGGGCGGCGGATGCCCCGCCTGAGCCTCGCCGCCGCAACTGCCTCCGCCGCCGCCGCCACCGTCGCCGTCGCCGCCGTCTCCGCCGCCGTCTTCCGCCGCCGTCGCCGCCGTCGTCAGCGTCGCCCTCGTCGTTTCCGCCGCCGCCGTCGCCGCCACCGTCGTCTGCCGTGCCACCGTCGTCGGCATCGCCGTTGTCGTTTTCGCGGTTGCCGCTTCTGCCGTCCATCAGTCCCCCCCGCCGCCGCCGCGGCGTCGGCACCGCGTGGCGATGCCGCCGCCGCGTCGCGCGGCCCGCGGCGCGCGGGTGAGGTTCGGCGGAGCGGTGGCTGACCTCCTACGGCAAGGGCGGGCCGCAGCAACTGAAGTGTGACGACGCCATCCTTTCGCGCGGTCTGAAGGGGGGATCGGACGAGGGGTGATCACAAGATTGGTCACAACAGTATGGATAGGGAATAGTACTAACGAGGAGAGGATAAATCATGGTAGCCAGCGCGAACCCCGAACAGCGCGTGTCTTGCAATATCTGTTGTGCAATCCACGTGGTGCAATACATGTGGTACATTCTCTTTTGCGCATTCAGCATTTATGTGCAAGACATGTCATGCAATATGTGTTATGCATTCCATGTTATGCGATCTATGTGGCCCAGTCTGTGTGGTGCAGTCTATTGTGCCATGTAGTTGATGCAATCTACGTGGTTCAGCTTACGCGGTGCAGTAGACCACGCTGCACCGCGCGCTACCAGTTCCCACGCTCGTGCACACATCCCTCCCTCCCACCCGTATCTTGGGTGGCAAAGTTCATAAGGCCGCGACTGCAGTTACAGCGTGAAGCTCGTCCGCAAATTTCATCGAGCCCATTGGCATGCGGACCTTCGTGGCGCGGGCAAAGTCCACATTGCAGGAGACAGCGCGGACGACAGCGTCGACAAACGACGATGGGTTGGTTGGCATCATTCATAAGGTCGCGAATACAGTTGCAGCGTGGAGCTCGTCCGCAAGTTTCATCGTGAGCGCGGACGACGGCGTCGACAGACGACGATGAGAATGATCACGGCGTTTCCGACGGCAATAATGATTACGGCGGTGCCCCGCATGGGAATATTTGAGAGGGGTCATGCTTATGGCGTGCGCGCGAGGGCATTGTTGTAAGCTCGACATGCGTTCGCGAAGGCCTTCTTGGACAGGAAAATTGAACACAAAGAAAAACAGTGGGTGTCCTAGGAATCCACAAGAGCGCGCAGTATGACATGTTGAAAATGTTTGGTCGAACAACCATTTGGTGTTTGATGTTTCCACGCTGAAATCGCAACGCGCCCAAAGGTTTGGGAAGTGTACCGTCTTGCGCGCGCCTGTCGCCCGCATGGTGGCCTTTTCAGAGGGATTCGTGCGTTCAACGCATCATGGATCAACGCATGTGATCCGCGTGGTATTATTTGACAGGGACGAAGGGGGGGCGATGCAGGGATTAGCTGGGATGGTATGACATCGTTTTGAAAATGAACAAAGAGTGTAACCATATGTAAACTTCAGCACCCCAGGGGGACGTGGTAATCTGGGGTGGGGGTGGCGGGGGGGGGGGGGCGATTTATGTTTTCAAAGAGCAGAAGACTCACGGGTGGCGTTCGCATTTGTCAACTCCACTGCTCGCGCAACCACCCAACCTGCCCGCCCGCAATTTGTCTTGCAAAACACGAACGGCGGCGATTGCCATGAATGCTTGGCGTTGGCTGGTGCGTCCCCACGGCCGCGCCAGCCCGCGCATGCACTTGCGCGCGGCGACCAGCTAGTTTGGCGCGACCGACGCGGCCGCTGTGGCGCTGACCGTTGAGCACATCCCGGCGGGCATTTCAGTGCGAGTCGGCGACTTGGGCGGGCGCGATATCATGGCGACGTCGTCAACAGTAAACACGAGGATGATAGTAGCGATGCTGGTGACGATGCGGACGACGGCACGGCAAGTGACGGCGCCGATGCTAATCACGCCGACGACGACGGCGCCCTCCCGTCGGCGACGAAGGTTTCGCATGGAATTCGACATACGTGCGCGGCCGACGCGCGAGATTGGCCCTCGTGGTTTTGCTCAAAACGAAGCGCGCCCTTCCAGCACGTGCGCAAGGGCGCTTTGAATAAATTCGTCATGCGGCGCCAGAAGCCCGTCTGGCAGAATCCAATCAACAGTAGTGAGAAAGTGATATGTATTTTGCTACGTAGAAATATTTCGCAACAGTGCGAGCCTTATTTTTTTTTTTGGGGGGGGGGGATGTCTGCTGCGAAGCCATATGTTTTTATGGTTCTGCGACATTCGGTTTTGAATTCTGTACAAAACCCACGGTTGTTGACGGATTCTGGCACGCGCGCGCGACGGCGCGCGAGCGTGCATTTCGTCCTTTCGTGTGTAAAGAATTCTCGCAACAACGCGCGCGCAAGAACGTTCGAACGATTTGGACATGCGCGTGCGCGAAGCCCGATTGGCAGGATGTGTTGAAAAATTGGAACATAAACTATGGTTTTCTTGTCAGAAGTTGCGCGCATTTGTTGTGAGATCCGTGTTGCGAGACCTTGTGTTTTTCTATTGTTTGGACCGACGGTTTTGGATTCCGTGCGGAAGAAATTGTTTTTGTTTGTTTCCAAGGGTTCCGGCATGCGCGCGCGACGACGCGTGCGCATTCCGTCCCACTGACGCAATGGATTTTTTAAACCGATTTTTGATAAACGAATACGCGCGCATAATAGTTTTCGTCGAGGACGACTGGGGGGGGGGATATTTTTTTTTGCTGGGATGGTACGGGTTCATATTTCGATGGACGAGGGGGCACAGCCATATGTAGATTGCAATACGAAAGAGGGGATAATCCCTGGGGGTGCAATCTGTCGCTTTCGAGAAAAGGGAAATTCACAGGTACAATCTAGAGCCGGCGGCGACGGCTGCGATATGGCGGACGGAACGACTTGCGACGAGTCGGCGACATGGCGGCCAGAGCGCCAGACAGGCCCAGAGGACGGGCGGCGACGAGGCGGCGACGGGGCGGCGACGGCGCGGCGACGACGCCGACATGGCGGCCGGAGCGCCAGACAGGCCCAGAGGACGGGCGGCGACGGGGCGGCGACGGCGGCGACATGGTCGCCATAGCGCACGACAGGCCCGACGAGGCGACGACGGGGCGGCGATAGTGCCTACATGGCCGCCAGGCCACCAAACTGGCCCAGTTCCTTTTAGACCACACGCTGGATCCCGTTAAGTGTAAGCACGCTTTAGAGAAAGACGTACATTCTTAATAAGACACATCGTCTCATTAAGTCGAATCAGAATCATGGAAAGAATGCTCGCCAGTGTGAGCCCCAACCGATGGGTTTGTAGCAAAACATGTTGTGCAATTCGCGTGGTGCAATATATTCACTGGGTAGCTGCTATGAGACCTTTGGTGTGTTGTGACAGTGGTACGTTTCATGAGGCACCATACACGTTGTGGAATACATGTGGGATAATCTTCGCAGTGAAATTGATTGTACTAAACGAGTTGACACATCCCGCGCTCTTGCAAACATCCCACCCACCCCCCCGTAACTTGGCTTGCAAAACTCTTAGGTTGGCGATTGCGATGCATGCTCGGCGTTGGCAGGTGCGTTTGTGCGGTTGCGCTAACCCAAGTACGCGCGCGCAGCGGCCGGCTGGCTTGGCGCGACCGACGCGGCCGCGGTGGCGCTGATCGTTGGGCACATACCAGCGAGCACTTCATTGCGAATCGGCGACTTGGGCGGGCGCAATATTATGGCAACTTCGGCAACGGTAGACGTTGCGGGCGAGTCTCCAACGACTGCTACGACGACCACAAAAACGACGACGACAACACCGATGACGACGACGCCGACGACGACGACGGCGACGATGACGACGGCGACGACGATGACGACGACGACGACGTCGCCAACGAAAACGACGACGAGGGAGGAGGGAGGTCGACGATGGCGACGACGACAACGACGAGGGAGGAGGGAATACGGCGACGACGGCGATGACGGCGACGAAACAGGAGGGACAACGACGAAACGCCGACGAAGACGACGAGGGAAGAATGACGACCACAGCGACAACGACGACATAAACGACGACGACGCCAAGACGACGAGGAAAGACAGAGGACGACGACGGCGACGACGACGTCGACGACGAGGGAGGGGGGAGGACGGCGACGACGACGATGACGCAAGAGCGCGCGCGCACGCATTTGTTGAAAATTCGGGTTGCGAAACCTCGTGTTTTTGTATGTGTGTTGGACACACGCTTTTGAAACCCGTCCGGCACCGAACGTTTTTGAAGGATTTCGGCGTGCGCGCGCGACGACGCGCGCGCCTGCACTTCGTCCCCATTTGTTGGAAGGGGTTCTCGCGACGGCACGCGCGCAAGGGCGTTCGAAAGATTTCGACATGCGCGCGCGAAGCCCGTTTGGTAGTATGTTTTGAGACTCTTGAACAGCCCATGATTTTGTAAGATTTCGCAAGAGCGCGCGCGTAAGCTTTTTTAGAAGATCAGCGTTGCGAAACCATTGGTTTTGTATATTTTTGGGAGACTCGATTTTGAAATCTTTCCGGAACCGCAGGTTTTTGAAGGATTTTGGCACGCGCGCGCGAAAGCACGCGCGTGCTCACTTCGTCCTTTATTTTGCCAGGGATTATTGACATTTTATGGTTTTTGATAAACGAATGCGCGCGCATATCATTTGTTGCAGAGGATGGCGGGGGGGGGGGGGGGCGATTCCGGCTTGGTTGGGATAGCATGAATTCATATTTAAGATGGACGATGGAGCAGAATCATATGCAAATTGGAATGCGGACAGGTGGCCCGTTAATTCCGGGGGGGGGTAGAGTCTATTCTTTTTTAGAAGTGAGAATCTCTGTGATGCTACAATTTCAGGAGGTTTTCTTAATGTTGGTCCCTCTCTTTTCACTCGGTGGTGAATAGGCCTGGTCCTAAAACTTCTTCCTTCTCCTTCCCCCCTCCCCCTTTTCTGAAGATGCAATTTCTGAGGATCGAGTTTCTGAATTAGGATTTTCTGTGAGAGCGCGCCTGAGGCATGAGTAGTAATAGTCGCCGTAGTCGTAGTCGCAATCGTAGTCGTAACTGCCGTCGTCGTTGTTGCGCGGTGGTTGCCGCGGAAACAAATAGTTACTTACCCCTATTGGTGGGACCCCAGTCCTTCAATAAGGCCGACGAGAAAATAATTAGTCACGCGTTTCGGGGGTGGTTCTGAACATTCATCGTGGTTATAGGTTGTGCAATCAATGGTGTGCCGTCTAGGTTGCGCACTGTATGTGGTGCGATCTAGGTGGTGCACCTATGTGAAACAAGCAATGCGTCGCAATACGCATTGTGCAATACATGTTGTGCAATCTGTGCGGTGTACTGTACACGGCGCAATACATGTAGCGCAATATTTATATACCTATGTGTGTGTGTGTGCGTGCGTGTGGGGTGCAATCTATGTGAAGCGACATGTGTTGTGGAATACATATGGTGCAGCATATGCTGTGGATTATGGCCAGTGCAATCGATGTGATGCAATAGATGGTGCAGAATCTAGGTCGTGCAAAACATGCTGTGCAACCCATGCCGTGCATGTTACGCTTTGAGCGATCAAAAGCGCGCCGCATGCGCGAATATCGATTTTGTCATCTATGTGCTGCAAACTATGTGGTGCAATTCACGCCGTCCAATATATCAGGTACAGCATATGCTGTGCAGGCTAGATGGTCAATGTATGCTGTGCGATCTATGTTGTGCTATTTACGTTGTGCAACCCATGGTGCTTTTCAATATATGTGGTGCAATTGGTGCTGCGAGCGATCAAAAAGGCGCCACAGGCAGGATTTGTTCGTGCAATCTACGTGGTGCTATCCGACGGCGGCGACGAGGCGGCGACGGGGCGGCGACGGCGACGACATAGCTGCCAGATCGCCCGACCGGCCCAGTCCCTCTGAACAGAAGTAAGAACATGTCAGTGCAAGCGCAGTTTGGGGAATTATAGCAAAATGATGGGGGATAGGAGGAGGAGGAGGCGGAGGGGAAGCTAGAGGGGGGAGGGGGGAGTGGGGGAAGGTTGAGGCGGGGAAATGGAGAGGTGAATGAGGGTGGGAGGGGGGGAGGGGGGCAGGCGGCAGGATGAAGAGTGGGGAGAGGAGAGACGGAGGATGGCAGGAAGGCAAAGGGGAGAGGGACGTGGGGAGGATGGAGGAGGGGAGGAGGAACGAGGGGAGGAGGGAGGGGGTGGGGCAGGAGGGAGGGGGGTCGGAGCAGGGGTGGTGTAAGGAGGAGGGGAGGTGAGGGGTGGTTCGGATGAGGGCGAAAGTGCAACACCCTTGCAATGTCGGTTGGGGAGGATGCGCTTCTTTTCTCCACAGCGCTTGAGGGAGGCAGCAGCAGTGAGAGTCGGGAAAAGAGATCATGAGGAGGAGGAGGAGGAGGAGGAGGAGGAGGAGGAGGAGGACCAGTGTAAACCCAAGAGTCATCGACGATTTTGGAATCCCCCCTTTCCAAGCTCCTTCTCCATAGGCCCCTACACCTGTTCATTTCCACTGGGAAGACAACCGCTTGAAGAGCCTGAAGCATGCCAAAACAGTGTTCTCGGGATTCCAACGCCACGGATCAAATTGATTGCTGCGTCTCGATGATCCTGAATCGTGCCAGGCCGCCATCCTGGGATTTCAACCCCGTGAATCAACGATCTTGTTGCATCCAATAATTCGGGATCCTCCCAAAACGCTAGTTCTGGTACGCTGATCATGGGAATGTGTGACGCTCTTGCAATGTTCACAACGAATGTGCGCGGCGCCGAGGCGAGAGCCACATTTTGAAAAGGAACCGCCTTCAATCCGTGAAGCTCTTGTAAATTTTGAAACGCATGTGCGCGGCGCCACGGCGAGAGCCAAATGTTGAAAACGGGCCGCCCTCAATCCGTGAAGCTCTTGATGAGTAGGAGGATGTAAACCCAAGACTCATCAACGATGGTTGTATAATCCTCCCTCCAAGTACCTTCTTCATGGACCCCTACAAGCGTTCATTTCCACTGAAAGAACTGCCCCGTTGCGAGACAGCCGTTTGAAGACACTGAAGCATGCTGAAACACTTTTTCTCGGGACTCCAACGCCACGGATCAACATGATTATTGCGTTTTGACGGTCCTGAATCGCACCGGAACACCATTCTTGGGATTTCAACATCGCGAATCAGAGTAATTGTTGCACCCTCACGTTCCCGGATCCTTTCAAACCATTTTTTGATACGCTGACCATGGGAATTCGTGAAACTACGAATGTGCGCGGCGCTGGGGCGAGAGCCATTGAAAACCGCCCGCCCTCGATCCGTGAAACCTTACGCAAAACGTTCAGAGAACGAAGGTGCGCGGCGCTGAAGCGAGAGGCACTTCTGAACGCCGCCCGCCGTCCGTATGCGAAATTGTTGCCATGCTGTAAGTTTCAGGGTCATCAGTGGTGAGGGAGACTCGAGCGAAAGCTCAGCCCGCCCTTCCGACCGGCTTCGGGGCGCGACGGGAAGGAGTTCTGTAAATGGCAAAGGAATGGGGGAGGAGGAAGAAGAAACGAGGAGGGGGGAGGGAGAGAGGAGGGAGGACGAGGAAGCGGAGGATGTTGAGAGGGAGAAACAGGAGGATGAGGAGAAGGAGGAGGAGGGGGAGGAGGAGGAGGGAGAATATTTAGGAGGAGGAGGAGGAGGAGGAGGAGGGGGAGGACGAGGTAGATGAGGAGGAAGAGAAAGAGGAGGAGGAGGAGGAGCAGGAGGAGGAGGAGCGGGAGCAGCAGGAGGAGGAGGAGGAGGAGGAGGGTGGGGGGGGAGGAGGAGGAGAAGGAGGAGGAGGTGGAGGAGGAAGAGGAGCGGGGAAAGCAGAAGGAAGAAGGAAGATGAAAGGCATCCCCTTTCACATGATTCGGGGAGTGTCTGCATATTTGGGTTGCTACGACTGAATTTGGGAGGTTCTGTGAGGTTCGAGGAGGGTAGTGAGGAGGGAGGAGGGGGAGAGACGGGGGGGGGAAGAGGCTAGACGGAAGAGGCTAGAAACCAGGACCTCCGATCTGGGAAGACGATGACGAGAAGCAGGAGGTAGAAAGCACAGATGAGGAGGATTGTAGCGTAGCGTTGATGGGGGGAGGAGGAGGAGGAGGAGATGGAACATGAGGAGAAGGACCAGTGTAAACCCAAGGCTCGTCAACGATGCTGAACAAACCCTCCTTCCAAGCACCTTCTTCATGTGTCCCTACAGGGATTGGTTTTCACGGATGAAAGTGCCCTGTTGGGAAACAACCGTTTGAAGATCCTGAAGCGTGCCACCACACCATTCTCGAAATTGCAGCGGGGGAGAGAAGGGGGGGAGAGGTTAGACGCCTCCGAAACTTGGACCTCCGATCTGGGAAGACGATGACGAGAAGCAGGAGGGATAAGAAACACAGGAGGATTGTAGTACAGCGTTGATGGGGGGAAGAGGAGGAGGAAGCAGAGGAAGAGGAGGACCGGTGTGAACCCAAGGCTCGTCAACGATGATGAATAAGCATTCCCTCCAAGCTTCCTCTTCAGAGGTCCCTACAGCGATTGGTTTTCACGGATGAAAGTGCCCTGTTGGGAAACAACCGTTTGAAGAGCCTGAAGCGTGCCACCACACCATTCTCGGAATTGCAGCGTCACGGGTCAACTTGACTGGTGCGTCTTGACGATCGTGAATCGTGCCAGAACACCAGACCGTCGCCGTCGCCGCCGTCTGCAGCCAAGACGCTCTGGTCTGCAAGCCGCTCCTCAGACCCGTGTCGGGAAGAACCTGTCCATGGCCCAGGCTGGCCGTGGCCAGGTGAAGCCCCTTCGCTCTGCGACCTCTTGCGGACCCTGCCCCTACGAGTCCAGTCGACGCTGGGGTATCAGACACCCATGCTGGGATTCACCTGGCTGCAGGCATGCGTCGACTTCTGAACCCCGGGCAGCGTTCCAGAAATCCGACCTGCGGGGGTAAGGTGCCCACGTGGTTGCCTATCCGTTCCTCGAGCAGCGCTCACTGTCACAGCACGGCGCGGCGTTCCTTGCGAGGTTTGGTGGCCGTCGACTTCCAGGAGCTGCCGCTGGCCCTGCCAGAGCACCTGCGCCCGCACCCACGCGTCACGCACCTCTCGGACCGCTCGGGGGGCTGGTAGCGCCAGGAGGAGGAGGACGACGACGAAGACGGACGACGATAAAGACGACGGCGACGGCGACGACGACGACGGACGACGATGAAGACGACGACGACAACGACGACGACAAAGACATCGGCGTCGGCAGCGGCGGCGACGACGACGAGGATGATTTGCGGACCGCAACGGGGGGGGCACAGAATGTGGAGGGATCGAGGATTTCAGGAAGGTGGTCCCGAAGGGCCCCCAAACGGCCTCGGAACTACAACCACGGGCCCGGAAGGTGCACGAATGGCGAGCGTTTCTGTAATCCCTCGTTTTTTTTGAGCAAGAGGAGCAATTACGTCACGGTAGTGATACATTTCACCATGCCACAGATGTCCGAGGTTTCCTTATGTTTCGCGCGGGCTGCAGACACGAGGGACGCTAGCCATTCCTGTGCTCCTGGAGCGCATCTTGAGCCGATCTCATCACCCCATGACTTTAATCTCGTTCTGAGGAGGAGGACGGCGACGACGATGACTCCCCTGGGGGCCCCCAGAAGCCTCCAGAGGGCCATGAGAGGCCAGACGAGGCCGCAAACCTGGCCCTTCGATCATCCTCCTCTGGACGAGGATGAGTAGGAGGGAACAGAAGGCCACGGGGAGGAGGAGGAGCAGGAGAATAAGGAAAAGGAGGAGGAAGAGGAGGAGGAAGAGGAGGAGGAGGAGGAGGAGCAGGAAGAGGATGAGAAGCGGCGAACGTCGCGGGACGAGGGAGGATGTTTAGGAGGAGGAGGAGGAGGAGGAGGAGGAGGAGGAGGAGGAGCGGGAGGAAGGAGCAAGCAGGAAAGTGTGAGAGGAAGGGAAGCATTGGAGTGGGAGGAGCAGCGAGGAACCAGCAATGAGCAGGAGGGGGGGAGGGAGGGAGGAAGGGGGGAGGAGCGAAGAGAGAAAACGATAACGAGGCTGACGACGACGACGACGACAAGAGCGAAGGGGCCTCAGGACCACTGGGCAGTGCGCGCCACGCTGAGGCCTGGGTGACCCAGCGGCGGCGGGCAACGCGCCTGACGGCGGGGGGCGTCGGGCAAAACCACGCTGGCCTTGCTCTCATCTTTCGACCGCCCGCTCCTCCTGCCTCCGTGCTCCTCCCTCCTCCGTCCTCCTGCTCTTCTTTCCCTCCTTATCCTCCCTCCTCCGCCTTTCCCGGAAGGGCCTAGCCGAGTCAACCGCAGGAGATTGCACGGTCCCAACGCACCTGCACTTTTTTTAACCTCCTCCTCTTCCCTCCCTCGCTTGTGCCTGTTCCTCCTTCCTCCTCATCCTCCTTCCTCCTCCTCTTCCGTAAACATGCTGGCGCAAGCAAGTTTGGCTCAAGGCGCCTGGTGGCCAGGCATACGGGGCGGGCCGCGCCCCGTGGCCCTCGGCCGCCGTTTCTCCTCAGCTCCCGTTCCTTTTCTCCCGCCTCGTCATGGAGGCGATGCGCCAAGCCATGCCGTGGCCAGGTAAGACGCATGCGCCCACCACCCATGCGGAGGGTGAGGGCAGCGAGGGCCGCTCCCACTGTCCATGGCCCCCATGTGCGAGCACGATGGATTCCAACCTGCTTTCCGCTCTTCAGAGTGCTCATGCAGCATTTTTCGTGCAGTGTCGAAGTTTTCTCCCGCAGAGCACATCGGTCGGTGTATTGCGGAGATTAACAGTCAGCCTCGGGGGGTCCAGGGCCTTACGCTCCAAGCGGATAGGAACTTGCAGGGTTACAGGCAATTCATGCAGATCTCTCGGAACAGATAATGCTTATGTTCGCAAGTATTCGTGCTATCCAGGACCAGGCCCTCGCGCAGGCGTTTCGGGATCGTAAGCTTGTGGAGAGCGAAAGAGGAAAGGGGGATAATTGGGGCGGCTGGTGCGACGAAGGAGGAGCTGGCGGCGTTGAGGGGGATTTCGACTGGAGGCGCGGCCATTCCCACTGGCGGGACGGCATCCTCCCATGATGGCGGCCATATCGGGCGGCTGTGTCGTTGCGGCATCGAACAAGGTGACGTTGGCAGCCCTTCTCGTCTAGTGGCCCCTGGGTCGGTCGCACTGTCGCACCCATCGTGCGCAAATGTGCTTTGGCCAGTGACATGGAGTTAACTGCAGTAACAAGGCGCTTGACGATTTCCGAACACTCCGGTCCGATGGCTTCCGCGCTCCACGCGAAGTGCATGTCTGAGTGGCCGTTTACGTTCCCTGGTCCTGGGGGCGGACTGGACCTCGAGCTCCGCGCCCGCCGCGCCCCCCTCGGACGTCTCGCGCGGCATTTTGCTATCGCGTCTGGAGCCGCCGCCTGCCTCGCCGAGGCAGGCGGCGGCGCAGATCTCCGGGCGAGAGCGCGTCGGATCCACGCGGGGCGCGAATTATGTGGCCGAGGGAGGCATGCCTGCTTCTGCGTTGAATATTTCCATTTATGATTGCGGCCCTTCGGCTGGCAGCGCGAGCGCGATGGTGGTTAAGGCAGGTTTGGCCGAGATCGAGGGCGAAGCGCATGCGCCTTGTTTGTGCGTCCGCCTCTCGGGGATCTGTCCGCTCAGGGGAGTGCAGCAGCTATCCTGAAGAGGGGGGCTCGACGAGGGTGGTCGCGCGGGCTCGACTGGGCCGCTGCCCCCTGAGAGAGCACCGAGATTTTTTATTCATTTGGCACAGCGTCGCAAGTTTCCTCCCCGTAGGCTGGGGGCGCTGGTGGAGTCGATCGTCCTTCTATTCTGCTCGCCCTCTGTGCGCGTGGCACTTGTGCTCTCGTTGCTTCCGTCCCATCCCAGCGCGAACCCGAGGTTTCAGCAGGGGTTGCTTGGGGGGCATCGGATGACATGTTTCCACGAGGCGCATGATTCCAGCGCCGACTTGGCCGCGCGAGCTCGCGAGATGCGCGTGGGCACAGTATGTGGCAATCTTTTTGGGGGTGCGGCAGCTGGGGGAGTCATCGCGTCTGCCCCTGATACGATTGGTGCCCTGATCCCGCATAGTTGTCCTATCGAGGTGGTAGAGCGGGGTTCCTCCTGCAGCGTTGCTCTGGGCCTGCTATGGATCTCGCGATTGCGCATGTGCGCGTGCCTGGCGCACGCGAGCACATCAGCGCGCATGAGCTGTATCTGGAGAAGGTCCTGGATATGCTGCCTCGTGCGGCTCACAGCTTGGCGTCGGTAGCAGGGGGCTGAGACTTTGTCCCGATGGAAGATGCGCGTTGTCTTGCGCGGGGCGAGCATGGCCATGGGGGCCGGTTGCAGCGCGTCGCCATTCGCGGAGGCCGCGGGCCCCGGCGTGGAATTGGTCAGCCTAACCCCGCGCGCGGAGGCACCATCGGGGGCGAGGTTCGCGGCTTCTCTCGGCTTGGCAGCGCCCGCGCCACTCCTTGTCGGCATCGCCGATGAGCCGGTTGCATCGGTTAGCGCATTGGGGCCCCTGACTTCCAGTGGGGGCATCGTCGGGCCATGCCCTCGCAGCAGGGGCGATTGCCCGCCCCGAACCCGGGGGGCCCCTCTTCGCGCCGAAATGAACTCGCCAGCACGCTGGGCACAGGGGGGCGGCGTCAGAACAGCTGAGCGAACTGGCCTTCCCAGGCGGCACCTGCCAGGGCGCAATTGGAAAGTGGGGGCATTTTCAGCGTCGTAGTGGCCGAGTTCCGGGGGTCTCAAGAACCGACAAGCATCGAATGATGGGGGGCGCCTTCATGTCGCATTCATTGCGTGCCGAGGGTGGGGGCGGCAGCGGTGGCATCTCGTTCGTTCGTGCTCTCCGACGCCGCGATGCCCCCTTTCTTTGGGGGGGGGGGGGGCGTTGACCGCGGCGTCTTCGGGCCCCCCGGCGGCCTGTGCTATCTGATTTACGCGGTAGAGAACCGACGTCTTGAAGAGGGGGCGGGGCAAGCGGGGCAGAGCAGGGAGATTGAGGAGTGCGAGGGCAAGTTGAAGAGGCGTCTGTTGGCTGGGCACTGTTGAGACGTCGCGCCGCGGGCGAGAGCGGCCCCCCCCGCCCGGGCCTGGGTGGCGCGGCCCGCGCGCTGGCCCCTTACCCGGCCTGTGTTTTCGCCAGGGTTCCACGCGATGAGAAGCGCTGGCCTGCGAAATGTTCCGGCGCGCGGTCGAATGGCCAACTGCCTCGCGAACCCTTCCGGCGTCTGGTCCAGGGCGAGTTTGGCGCGCGCATTCGTCTCAAGCGGCGCGCCCCCCCTGGCCCCAGTGACATCCTGCGTGGTTGTTGGTGGGGCCCGGGGGCCGCTTGAGTTCAATTTGGTTTTGCGAGGCGGCGCATGATTGCGATGGCGCCGCGCTTCCTGGGGGCTCGCAGGACCGGCTGCGGCGCGCCAGCCGCGAGGGGCGGGGCTCGCCGATCGGGGCATTCCCGTTTCGGGGCTGCCTTGGTCTACCCGCCCCCTTTCTGGCTCCGGCGGGCGCCGGGCCCCCTCGGGCGCGTTCTGCATCGGCCTGAACGAGGCAGCGCCACAGACGGTCATGGAGCAGCAGCGCGGGGGCGCCCATGGCCGCAATGTCCACGGAGGGATTTCTGGTCTAGTCTATTCGGTGATTTGATGAAGCTGGCATCTGATGCGCCGATCGCAAGGCGGCGCCCCCGTCGATTCTGCCGGCGCGGATTTCCCGGGCCCGCGGAGCGCCGGGCGCCCTGCTGTAGATTTGCTTCTTTTCTTGAAAATAATACATATATACATATATATATATATATATATATATATATATATATATAAATCGTGGGGGTTGCATCGCAGTTGTCGATTTCGCTTAGGCAGCGGGGTTCTGGCCCCCAGTCGCGCGCGGCGCAGGGCGGAGAGGTCGGGAGTCGATGACTCTGGAGTTCGACGCAGGTCTAAGACGGGCCACGTGCCGGCGCGCGCTCGGGCTGGACCTGGGGCGCGCGCGCGGATGATTGTTGTTTCGGCATGCAGAATATGCTTGTTGATATGACGCCTACGCTTCTACCGCTGGACCTGTTAGCATCCCATATCGGTCTCTCGCTGAACATTGGCGAATGCTGGGCGCTTGTCTGCGGGGCGTCGTCTTGCGCGCGTCTCTCTGAGCACGCGAGGCGGAGTGGGGGTCCGTTCCATGTGAGAAAATGTAGGCGGTTCGCGTTACCCCACCAGCCCATCCAGACACGATGCCCAGAGGAGTTGCCTTGATCGGGGAGGTGGGCAGCACGCAGAGGAACGGCCTTCCAGCGGAGGCCCCATGGAGCGTCTTCGGCGCCTCTTGGCGGTCCCGGAGGCTTCTTGGAGAGCCCCGGGTGCCTCGGCGAGCTTCGTGGGGCTTCTTGGGGGTGTCTTGGCAGCCTCTCGGAGGCCTCTGAGGAGCCTCTCGGGGCTGTCGGTGCCTTCTCGGGAGCCTCGGGGACACTCTCGGGGCCGTCTTGGAGGACGTCGATCAAGCGAGAGGGGGGCTTGACTTGACGGCGCCCCCCCGAGAGGCCAGCGCGGGGCCAAACCGCAGTAAAAACCAACGATTCCGGCTTCCTCGCCGATCGGGCGCCCTGCCACCTCGCGACCGGCCCCGCCCAGGTCCAGGAGCGGGGTGGGTGGGGGGGGGAGGGGCGTATCCCCGAGCGGGAACGGGGGCAGGTGGAAGATGAAATGCCCAAGACCACCCACGCCCCGAAGGGCCGGTAGGATTCTAGGCCCGCGCGTTACACGTGTTTTTGGATTGGACAAGCGGCTTGCGCTGTGGCGAGGCGGGAAGTCTTAGGTGAGTTCTGGCAGCTGGCGCGGCAGCTTCGATTTCTCTTTTCAGGAGTACCCGCGACGGCTCGGCCTTTGCATTCGAATTTGTCGCTGCAACAGAGGCTTCAAGTAGTTCGGGCCACTCCAGAGGCTGCTGGATCAGATCATATCGGGAGGCGGTGCAGATTTCAACGGCGGGTCCTGGGCGCGCGACAGTGGATGGGGGCTTCTGCGTGACGACGAGTCTCGGTTCTCTACTCTCGCCCATCTGGGACTTGCGCGGGTCTGGAACGCGATCTCGCTGCCGGCGCCGTTCCTGATGCACTCCTGAAGACCCGTGCCCGCCGCTTCCTAGGCATTGCGCTTGATCTGCAACAGGTATTTCATGCGCGGATGAGGATTCCTGCCAGGCGGCAAAGGAAGGTTGCCACGGTTTTCCGCAGGGGCCCCTGGCCATGGGATCCCAGGGTCA